CTAATTTTCATTCTGGCCTCAGCGACCCAAAGAATTGCCTTGGCCCAGAGAGCTGGTGCAGGCTGCACAGCACTGTAATTGGTATCCAGGGCCCACTGTTTCTCAGCAAAAGTTGGGTCAAAAATACAGAGGACGGTCACTAGATGTCCCTCTTGTGTCTCTAAACAGGCTGAGTAGGTGGGGCTCCTTCAGGATTGAAGTGAAGCTAAGACTGAATGAACTTTCTTTTTGTTTTTATTATCCTCATACAGAACGTTTTTTTCCCCAGAATGGTTTTATTAATTTAATTAATAAATTCCCGATCATGAAGGTGTTTTCAGGCACTCATTTAGTCAATAGCATTATTGGAGTATAAAAATCAAGTGTGCTTATTTAAAAAAAAAACACATTATCAGAGCAAACGGTGTTAGGATTATCTGTAGAAACAGATTGGGAAGATGGAAGAACTATTTTTTTGGAGGGGAGGTGTAACTATCAATTTGAGCTTGGGGGTGATGGTAAAGATGGAAAACAAAGATACACTCCTGTGCCTCTCTCATAGCCTGGCTTCCATAAAAGCCATTTGGTATATCTGGAAGTACTTGGGGTGCTCTGCTTGGAAAGGAGAGGTGCCTCAAGTGTGAACAGCGAGCAGGAAGCAGGGAACCTGATCTCCTTAGGGAAGAGCATGTTTGTCTTTGCAAATGCAGAACATGTCTTTACAATGTGATTGCAATTATAAAGGTAATGACATTGTATGTGAATTGAATTCCCCTATTTATCTTTAAAAGACAGCATAATATAGACATTCTATTAGCACTCCCCAAGGTAAGAGGTTCACAGCCTTCTTATCTTGTTGTGTGCATCTTTACAGATGCCACGGCAATGTTAATCGTTTTACTTGAGTAATTCTTCCATTTGTTGTTACCTGGGGGATTGTTAATGGCCAAGACTACCTCTCAGACTGTTTGCTCCCGCTCGATCAAGCGGTGGAGGCGCCAGTTTACTTTTATTGATCAGCGGGTTCCTGACAGCCTGCACCACAAGGAAGCAGCATCATCCTTTTTTAACTTAAAGGGGAACAGATCGCCTTAAAGTTTACAGCTAAAAGCTTCTAAGCATGGCATGCAAACATTTTAGCATGCTGATAATTGTTCTGTTTAAATAGTGCAAGCAATATTTTAGAAAGCTGCCAAACGCCGAATTCACATCCCGTGATCAGATAGCAAACCCATTTCAAATGCCTTTTTAGGCATTTTTAATTAGACAAAGATTCACTTCATTCCCACTGGCTGACATCAAAGGAAAATGACAGTGATAAATCAAATGAGACCCTTCTCTTTGTGGAGCTCTGAGGTGCGCCCACGCTGCCTGCCATGTTGTCACTCTCCTCCACTACTTGCCCATTTCTCAAACCGGCTGTGCAGAAAAACGGGAGGACCACTGGATTCCCTCCAGCCACCACTCTGCTGTCCACCCGTACCTCTAATTTTTTTTAATGTTTACTTATTTTTGAGACAGAGAGAGATAGAGCATGAACGGGGGGAGGGTTAGAGAAAGGAAGACACAGAATCCGAAGCAGGCTCCAGGCTCTGAGCTGTCAGCACAGAGCCTTAGGCGGGGCTCGAACTCACGGACCATGAGATCATGACCTGAGCCGGATGCTTAACCCACTGAGCCACCCAGGCGCCCCTGTCCACCCATACCTCTAAATGACCAAGACTAAATGATACTCATTGAACACACTTCGATTTTCTTCCTAATGTTTTGGGCTGATTGGCATCCTAATATGAAAGGATCCCCATGGCCAAATTGGATCAGGCTCCCAGCGCCCTCCCCTTGGTTTTGGAGGCACGTTCAGGGGATTGTAACCTCACTCCTGAAATAATTCCTTTTTGTAGGAGGAAGGTGTCTTCTCCTTCCCTCCTCCAAGGTAAAGGCTGCTAAACCAGCTCCTCTGGGAAGAAGTGTCTTTTAAAAGAAGCTCTGTTGCTCTCTGAAAGATGGCATTTTTGAGAAAACCTATTATGTTCCCAAATTCCACTTCCCCCTTTCTCGTTTAATGTTTTTTAAAGGGCAAAAGTGAGTCTGATTCTAAACCCACAAGCTCAGGCCAGTGTCGCTGGACTAATTATAAGTTTGCTCACCCAAGACTCCCAAACATCCAAGACGACTCACTCAGAAGGTAGGTTTACTCTTCCAAGTATTGTGAATTCAGAAGCTGGTCCCCGCACCCCCCACTCTATGATGAAAAAAATCCCGACTTGTTCCACGGCGTGTTTTTGTTTCTTCCTGCTGGTGATCTTAATTAAGAGCCACAGAACAGGGTGGGGAGTATACCCCCGTTGTCCTCAGGGCGCCTTAGTTCGGAAGGCACGCTGAGTTTGATGTCAGCCCCAGCCACGCTGTCCTTCATCTTCCCAGCACTGGTACAGGCCGCAGCCTTTGCCACCACCGCCTGAGAGAGCTGGCAGTCCCCTGGGACTGAGACCCCTGGGAAGGCTAGGGAGCGCCCCACACCGGAGCCGGATCCAGCGGCCGGCCACCTATCGGGACTGAGGGCCCGCCTCGAAGCTCCCGCAGGGCTGGAGCTCTCCGGGCAGGGCACGGCACGGCACGGCAGCGTCCACTCCACCCGCTCTTCTCCAACGTACAGTTTATTTATAGGGAGCTAAATTCACCAAAAGGGTGCGGTGAGGAGCGACGAAATTTGTCCTGCTCCCTCCGCGTCTCAGTCCCTGCGACAAAGATCCCATCTGATTAACAAGCAGCAGACAAGAGCGAACCGAACCGGGCCAAAGGCCTTGCTCTGGGGGAATAATTGCAGCGTTTGCCGGGGAAGGAGGGATGGAGGTGACGGTCCGGAAGGATGGCCGCCGCGGTTCTCAGCTGAAGTGAAGACTCACCCGCCAAGAGCCGGATGAATGACCACCACCTCGGGGGCTCGTTCTCCTTTCCTTTTTCCTTCCACTACCAGAGAAAGAGAGGCGAGGAAGACAGAGAAACAGACAGACAAAACCCAGGGTGAAGAGCCAAAGAGGGAGGGGGGAGGGTGGTGAAGAGAGAGAAAGAATATGAATATGAATATTATATTCAAGATATGAACAAATGTGAGGGAACTGAACATGCCTAGAGAATCAAATCCTTATCTTTTCTCAAATCTACAAACAAGAGAGGCGCGCAGTTCCCGGGAATGCTCAGTCTCATCACCAGCACGCCCTCCTCCCCACTCCACCCAGTCCTCTTGCCCCTGCCTGCTCGCCCGCCGGGCCTCCACAGACTCCGGCGCCCGCTCGGAGGGCGGGGGTACCACTCGGTCCTGCCAGTGTGTAAGTTTCCGGCTGGCCCCGCCCAGCCCCGCCCCCCGTGCTTTGGCCCCGCCCCAAGCCCGGAGCCCGCTGGGCGGCGCGCTGATTGGCCAGAGCCTGGCGTAGCCCAGCTCCGCAGCCCGACTCTCACCAGCTCTCTCCAGACTCCACCGCCAGTAGTTTGCGGCAACGGGAGGAGCAGCAGCAGAAGCAGCAGCGGCGGTGGCGGGCGTAGGGGGAGACGGACCAGAGGGCGCAGACGGCAGCATAGCTCCAGCACACCATGCCGGACTTGCCCGGAGGGCAGTGGTACTCGCGTCCCTAGCCTGGTGCGGGCCCTTGGTGCATTGCTCTCGGCGGCATTCCGGCTGAGCGCCTTCATAGGAGATCGGAAATCTCCCACCCCTGCTCACTTACACTCCTACATTCACACGTCCCGCACCACACACTCACTCTTCCTCTCACGCATTCACAGAGAGCAAGACAGACCTCCCGAGTGCGAGAGCGTCCGGGAGGGAGGGAGCCCAAACGCAGCGAAGCCAGCGCCTCTTTGGGAAGATGGAATCAAGATGCTCCCGCAAGTAAACTTTGGCAGTGACAAAACCCTCGACCGTGGCAGCTGCTGAGGTGGACCTTAGCGACCTTCGACTGGGCTAGGAGGGTTTCCTCCCACCGCGGCGGTGGCGACAACGGCCCGCAGACCTACACCCCAGCCTAGACCAAGGGAGGAGGTGAAGCCCCCAGTACCCGCGGCAGCGGCCCCGCCTCTCCTTGCCGGTACTGTTGTCGATTTCCCTTCCCTCTTCGCCATTCCCTGCCCTCCCCCGGGCCATTGGAAAGAATGGGACTTTGATTTTCTTGGACAAATCCCCATCGCCCCGTTTTCACAAACTTGACGTGGAGGCCCGGGCTGCGTTGGTAACTTGGATTTCTGAGACGCAAACGCCCGCAGTCCAACTGCTCTGTGGAGGGGACTCTGCCACCTATCTCCAAGCCTGGACAGACGTACCCCCCCCCCCCCCCCCGAGTCTTCTGAAGCCAGCCTCAGCGACAGGGAGCGCTGTCTTGTCTCAGCAGCCTCCCTCTCTCCCCTCCCCCTTCTGCCAGCCCTGGAACTGCCATCCCTTTCAGCTGGTTACTCGGGCGCCTCCAGCGCTTGACAGCAATTCTAAGTCCCATCTTTGATCATCCTTTCTCCCCAACAGACCTCGAAAAAGCCAGCGTACCCCCCCTGGACCTCGGAGGGCGCGTTCCAGGCGGGTTCTCTCTCCGCAGTGAGCCAGGAGAGCTGGGGGGAGGTCCTTGCGCATGCCAGGTGCACACACAACGCGTTTGCCAGCCTCAGAGCTGGTGCGCCAAGGCGGGTTGGGCAGTGTCTGAGAGGCTGCACCCCCACCGACCTCCCTGTCTTAGCCCCAGGTGCGGTCCAGACTCAGCCTCCCGTCGACCAGGCAGCTCAGAAGGCGTCAGACCCTCAGCCCTGCGCCGCCTCAGCCAGTCGCGCCTGGCTAACTTTGAAGGGGGAAAACTGAGTAGCCGGGCTGGAGGGAGGGGGCTCGGGGCCGCGCGGCGCTCCCTCGGCCCCCCAGAGCCCCCAAGCCCCCCGCCAGCCCCCTCCGAGTCTGCTGCAACCTCAGCATTGGAGCCGGCGCGGGTGTCTCCCCCGCGCCGCGGGGCCGCCCTGGGCGGGACGCCTCCCGCGTCCTCCGGGGCCCTGGGGCGCGCGCAACAGGCGGCCCGAGTCAGCGGGAAGCTGGAGCGCCGGCGGCGTAGGCCTCGGAGGGGTGTGGAGAGGCGAGGCCAGGCAGAGCCCCGCGCAGCCATGGAGTCTCTCCTGCTGCCCGTGCTGCTGCTGTTGGCCGTACTGTGGACACAAGCAGCCGCCCTCATTAACCTCAAGTACTCGGTAGAAGAGGAACAGCGCGCCGGGACGGTAATCGCCAACGTGGCCAAGGACGCTCGTGAGGCGGGTTTCGCTCTGGATCCACGGCAGGCCTCTGCCTTTCGTGTGGTGTCCAACTCAGCTCCGCACCTGGTGGATATTAACCCCAGTTCGGGCCTGCTTGTCACCAAGCAGAAGATCGACCGCGACCTGCTGTGCCGCCAGAGCCCCAAGTGCATCATATCGCTTGAGGTCATGTCCAGCTCAATGGAGATATGTGTGATTAAGGTGGAGATCAAGGATCTGAACGACAATGCGCCCAGCTTTCCGGCGGCACAAATTGAGCTGGAGATCTCAGAGGCAGCTAGTCCGGGCACGCGCATCCCGCTGGACAGCGCCTATGACCCGGACTCCGGCAGCTTTGGCGTTCAGACGTATGAGCTCACGCCTAATGAGCTGTTTGGCCTGGAGATCAAGACGCGTGGCGATGGCTCACGATTTGCGGAACTTGTAGTGGAGAAGAGTCTGGATCGAGAGACGCAGTCGCACTACAGCTTTCACATCACTGCGCTCGACGGCGGCGACCCACCGCACCTGGGCACTGTTGGCCTCAGCATCAAGGTGACCGATTCCAATGACAACAACCCGGTGTTTGGCGAGTCCACCTATGCAGTGAGCGTGCCAGAGAACTCACCTCCCAGTACACCGGTCATCCGTCTCAATGCCAGCGACCCAGACGAAGGCACCAATGGACAGGTGGTCTACTCCTTCTACGGCTATGTCAATGACCGCACGCGCGAGCTTTTCCAGATCGATCCGCACAGTGGCCTGGTCACAGTCACTGGTGCCCTAGACTATGAAGAGGGCCACGTGTACGAACTGGACGTGCAGGCCAAGGACTTAGGACCCAACTCCATCCCGGCACACTGCAAGGTGACCGTCAGCGTTCTGGACACCAATGACAACCCACCGGTCATCAACCTGCTGTCAGTTAACAGCGAGCTGGTGGAGGTGAGCGAGAGTGCCCCTCCAGGCTACGTGATTGCGCTGGTGCGGGTGTCTGATCGGGACTCTGGCCTCAATGGGCGCGTGCAGTGCCGTTTGCTGGGCAACGTGCCCTTTCGGCTTCAGGAGTATGAGAGCTTCTCTACTATCCTGGTGGACGGACGGCTGGACCGTGAGCAGCATGACCAGTACAACCTCACGATCCAGGCGCGTGATGGCGGTGTGCCCATGCTGCAGAGTGCTAAGTCCTTTACAGTTCGAATAACTGACGAGAATGACAACCACCCGCACTTCTCCAAGCCCTACTACCAGGTCATTGTGCAGGAGAACAACACGCCCGGTGCCTACCTGCTTTCTGTGTCTGCCCGAGACCCTGACCTGGGTCTCAATGGCAGTGTCTCCTACCAGATCGTGCCATCGCAGGTGCGGGACATGCCTGTCTTCACCTATGTCTCTATCAACCCCAACTCCGGTGACATCTACGCGCTTCGATCCTTCAACCACGAGCAGACCAAGACATTCGAATTCAAGGTGCTGGCCAAGGATGGCGGCCTGCCCTCGCTGCAGAGCAACGCCACCGTTCGGGTCATCATCCTCGACGTCAATGATAATACTCCGGTCATCACGGCCCCACCCCTGATCAATGGCACTGCAGAGGTCTACATCCCCCGCAACTCTGGCATAGGCTACCTGGTGACGGTCGTCAAAGCAGACGACTATGATGAGGGCGAGAACGGCCGGGTCACCTACGACATGACCGAGGGCGACCGTGGCTTCTTTGAAATAGATCAGGTCAGTGGAGAAGTCAGAACCACTCGCACCTTTAGTGAGAGCTCAAAGGCTTCTTATGAGCTTATTGTGGTGGCCCACGACCATGGCAAGACGTCTCTCTCCGCCTCTGCACTCCTATTAATCTACCTGTCCCCTGCTCTTGATGCCCAAGAGTCAATGGGCTCGGTGAACTTGTCCCTCATTTTTATTATTGCCCTGGGCTCCATTGCGGGCATCCTCTTTGTCACTATGATCTTCGTGGCGATCAAGTGCAAGCGAGACAACAAAGAGATCCGGACCTACAACTGCAGGTAGAGCCAAAATTTTTTCTTTCCTTTGTCTTGGATGAATAAGGTGTATCTGTGCCTCTGTGTGAAAATACCAGTGCTTTTGTTTCCTACTTAAATGCATGTTCTGTACATGCTGTGCTTCTTTTTGGAGGGGGGAAAGTTTGTGGCAGTCCAAGTTTATCAATTCTTTTGATCTGACAGTTTGCTGGAAGACAATCATTTACTGTTCGAGTGGATTCTGTCACACAATGATGATGAGCAGAAAAGCAATTTTCATTTTTTAAAATTTGCACAGCTGTCTCCATGAAGTTATGGCAGGGAAAAAATGAGAGAGAGAGAGAGAGAGAGAGAGAGAGAGAGAGAGAGAGAGTTAATTTACAGCAGAACCACCAAGGTCCACGACTTGATTTCAGGGCCACAGTGTTTTGAGGATAGATATTGAAAGGAGAGGAAGTGCTTGTAGTTGCCCTGTCCTGTTGTAAGGATGAACCGAAGACAGCCGGTGAGTGAGTGTCTAAGGTAGGAAACAGAGAGTTGAGGGAAGAGAGAACAAGAATGTGTGGGGAAGCAGGTGCCTAGTGTTTTCTACAAGTGTGTTATTGGCTTATTTTTTTTATCTATTCCCCAAACATCTGGCTATATAAGGTGAAATTCTACCAGTCATTTATGTTTTCAAATATCTAGTTGGTTGGTGGGGTAGAGACCTAATATCCCAATGGGGGGTAGGACTTTGCCTCCAGATGTTGTGGTAAAAATGGCAGTCTTCTGGAGCTGATGGTGCTTTTCTCTAATGTGGGACTCTGCTGTAGCACTAAGGTCTGGTCCCTACCAGTGGATGTCACTATGGGCTATTTATTGTGTTACAGTTTCTCTTGAACTGTATGCAGGGTGTGTGTGTGTGTGTGTGTGTGTGTGTGTGTGTGTGTGTATGAGAGAGAGAGAGAATATGAGAATAGAAATACAGAAACTGGAATGGCAGGTAGTATTAAGAAAATTTCCTGAAAAACATATCAGAGGGTCTTGTTGAAGCCCTTCCTTACAATTGGAGAGAACAAATAAATATAAGTACTTCTAGAATAAATTTAGGATAATACATGTAATTTTTTTCCAGCAGTGTCTCATCAAAATGGTTGAATAAAAAAAGAAGTTTCTTTAGTTTCCTGAAAATGAATGATACTGCTGTTTCTAACCAAGGTGTGTGTGTGCTTTCAACACACCTAAACATCCAGTGTGTCTTTTGTGCCATCTGTGCTTGCATGTTAATCAGTCAAAATATGTTCCTATAGATCCAATTTGTGTTTGACACCATCTGAAATGCATACTTGTGTGAATCAGAGACCCCTGAATATGTAACAGCCATGCAATTATTGTTTCCCTTTTACTATTCTCTGCATTACACAAGTTAGTAGACAAATGCTAACCACACATGAATATCAATCAGGTGCCATAAAAGAGCAGCTGCAATGCCTCATAAATGCTTTAATCCTGTTACTAGTGAAATGGCCATGACTTTTCTTTCCTTCAGCTCTGAGTCATTTCAGATGGGAGAAATGGAAATTAATATTGCTCTTACCTTTGAAACCTGTGATTGCCAGTGGCGATTTTTATAGGAGAAAAATTCGGGGTCTGTAAAATTTTATTTATATGGAGATAATGAGAGAGTGGACTCTCTTTTTAAGCCATTTCCTTAGCATAAAGTAAATGTATAAGACCCCTTTCTTGATGAAAAAGAAATGATCTTGAAATAAAGATAGTGAAGGCTTTGCCACTTCCTGGTAATGTATGACTAGAAGTGAACGCTCTTTCTGAGAGCTTGCCAGGGAGATCATTAAACAGGGAGGAAAGCATTTGAAATTAAAAAAGAAAAAGAAAAAAGAAAATCTCAGTTCTCTCCAACTTCGTTCACATGTGTATTTTGTAAAGAGCTCTGTTCCCTGTGATGGTTTGGGATTAATGAAGTACAGTTTAATTAAATAATTGGCCAATACAGAAAGGACTGTGCAGTGAATGCCTCAGCCAAGTAATTGGATGGGGCATTGCCAAACTTACCCATCATGGGTAAACAAAATCATTAAAACTTCCCATTGATTCTGTAAACAGATTAGTAAAGAAAATAAACCCTAGTCCTGGGGTCTTTGGGATTTTATCTGCTCTCAAACTCCAGTAAGCATCAGCTTGCTATCACTGCAGTTCTGCCTGAGCACTGAGCTAAAAAGGGTGAGGGGAATGCAACTGCTCTAGGAAGATCCCAGGGACAGAGTAAGAATTTGCCTCTAGAAATATGCATTCTTCCTGTATGCTCAGACTTTTCAGAAACCTAAAGTTCAAGACCTTGTGTTGCCATGTATTAGGCAGAGGTTTGTTTCCTGTTCTCAGCCTCTCCTGAGCCTCTTCCCCAAATGCATTCATTTATGAGACTTGTGAGGTGATCTGCAATTGCTGCTGAATTGGGCTCCTTTTGTATTCAATAATTAGCTTTGTTGAGAGAGAATGCAGACACAGTTTCCCTTGTGAAGATCAACCCCATATTATTTATTAACCCTATTGTTTTGCTGATTATTGCCCATAAATGGAATTTTGAAACAATAAGGTGAATCATTATGTGCAAAGTAATAAATAACTTTGAGAATCTGGCTACATTTTAATGTATTCTGTTTAAGTGCCTTAATGCTTGGTGTCTTTGGTGCACGTTGCTGGGTCTGTGTCAGTGTTAATTAAATTGAGCTCTTTGTGTTCCAGTTGCAGTGCAGCTGCTTGTAGGTACACCTGAATGGAGAAGGATGCTGAATGCACTAACCTTTAAATTCCTTTGCAGTAATTGTTTAACCATCACTTGTCTCCTCAGCCGTTTTATAAAAGGACAAAACAGCAAGTGTCTGCATTGCATCTCGGTTTCTCCCATTAGCAAGGAGCAAGACAAAAAGGCAGAGGAGAAAGTGAGCCTGAGGGGAGAGAGGTAACAAGCATTTCCCCTCATTCAAATGGGTTTGGCTATCAGATTTCTCCAGGAGAGGAGGGGTCAGGGAAGGGAGTAGAAGGGAGCAGGGCTAGGACAGGGGGATGGAGGGTGTGGAGGAGAAAAGCTGAGGATATGTCAAAGGATGGGGTCTGATCTCCTACCCCAGTCCAAAACTGATCAGGTGAATCAAAGAGAAATCTGATTGAGAGTGTTCCCCACATGGAAAATGCCTAGAGGCACTGGAAAGGGGGTGAGTTTTTATTTCCTTCTATCTCCTCTTCTGTTAAATTAAGACTTCCTTCTTATTTCACCCAGGGGTTCCTTTGGGATCTAGGGGAGCTCCAGATTTGAACATTTTCATGCTTTCTTTCTCATAGGCTCAACTTTCACTGCCCACCCCCCCCCTTGCTAAATAGCCACTCACAATAAGGAATTCCACATCCAAAGTATGGAAACATTTTGGGGGGTGGAAGAGTGGGAGGTTGGTCTGTTTTATATGAAAACTGTGTGGCCCTTAGTTTTTTTCACATGTAAAATGCACAGGAAGAAACCCAATGATGTAATGCACTGGAATAAGAAGCTGGAGCGGAGATTGGGTGAAACTCTATGGGGTGCTTAATATTTATTAATCAACACATGGTTCTGGAGGGCATTAGCAATATATGTTGCTTTTTTTGTCATATAGAATCGCTGAGTACTCCTATGGGCATCAAAAGAAATCAAGCAAGAAGAAAAAAATCAGTAAGAATGACATTCGTCTGGTACCCCGGGATGTGGAGGAGACAGACAAAATGAATGTTGTCAGTTGCTCCTCCCTGACCTCTTCCCTCAACTATTTCGACTACCACCAGCAGACACTGCCCCTGGGCTGCCGCCGCTCTGAGAGTACTTTCCTGAATGTGGAGAACCAGAATACCCGCAATACCAGCACCAACCACATCTATCATCACTCTTTCAACAGCCAAGGTCCCCAGCAGCCAGACTTGATCATCAATGGTGTGCCTCTGCCTGAGGTGAGTGCAGCCAAGCAGCTCTGTGAGGTCCTCCCAGATCTCTTTCCTTGCTGCTTGCTGACAGAATAGGCCTTTATGCTGGAGAATTCCCTGGCACAGGTGGAGAGAACTTCTCTGCCTAAGCCCATTTCTGTGGTCAGGGTTTGCTACCAGGCTCTCTTGGGGCAAAGGGTAACCCAACATATGGAGACTTTGTAGGGGTGGATGTTGGGAGTGGGAGCTCCAGGGGTCTGAGCATTTGAAATCTCTGTATGGTATTCTGGCATAATACGAATTTGCTCCACCTGTTGCAAATACAATATGTTTGCCAGCCAGTGGCAGTAGCATTCCAGTTAAAGTGGCTGAGAAAGAATCAACAAGTAGTGTTAAAGATAGGTGAACCTTAGAATGCTCAAGGGCCAAGTTCCCAGTATGAGAGTTATTCAGCCTCCTGAAGCCCCCTTTTGCTTTTTATTTGGCCATATACATGCTTTGCCAAGAATATGGATGGGTTACTTAAAGGGAGACAAAATAATTTTAAAAATCACTTTGCCATTTCTTGGTAGTTCTTATAGTGACGTTTGACAAACGAGGAAGCAGAAATTCTCACTAATAATGAAAATTTCAGAAATTAACTATGATTTGAATTAGCTCTGTTTCCCTTTACCAGGTATGAATGTTTTCAAATGGAAGCATTTTTAAAGCATTATGTAGTCCAGTGTTTGCTGGTTATTGAAATATCTCAGGGTAGTAGGGTGATAACATGGATGATGGTGGGTGGCTGGCTGGCTGGGTGGAGGGCTAAAAGTTCTTAAGTTGATTTCATTTTTCCATGAATTGCTTAAGTCCCTTTTTGGTTGGAAATTTTATGCACTTGGAGGTATATGTCCCATTCCAGGCCACTAATGAAAGGAATACTGTATATTTGAAGAACACTTCCACATTTTTTGAAGCACCTGTATGACCATTGTCTCCTTTGATCCTTGCAAATAGTTATCTTGATAGATTGCCCATCAGTAGATGGTGAAACAGAAGTCCAGAGATGGTAAGAGAGATGGTAAAGAGTCACAGAGCAGGAGAGAGAGACAGGGAAAGGGAGAGAGAGAGAGGAGAGACTAGATAGCAGGGCTCTATGACTCTCTGGCAAGTTCTGTTTCAGTGACACCTTCCTGCCTGGGAAATAATTCAGCCTGATATACTTAAGCTATGATGCATATAAAATGGCCTCATAGTATTTGTATCAATTTCATAGGGCAAAGGGTCTTAAGACTTCTTGAATCAATTACTTTTCCTGGTTTCCTGAAGAATAATTCTCATCAGAATTAATTGGACCAAACAGCAGTGCTTTTAATGAGAAACTGATATTCTGTAAGCAACAAAGCACCATATTTTCAATATATAAGTCTATAAATAAGGATTTATCGAAAATCCAGTATCATGCTGTATAGGATCAATTATAATTATGGATTTCAGTATATACTACTAGAAATTAGAAGTCTATACTTTTTGGAGGACTACTTGTGGAGTTCAGCAATGGAGAGGGAGAGGTAGTGCTATGTAGTGGAATCAGGTAGAACATGATTTTGAATCTGGTGTGGAATCTGTCTCTTTCCTCATCTACAAAACAGGAATATCTACCATACAACATTGGTCCAAGGAGTAATATGACATTGTGTAATATAAGATATTGACACATAGGTGTTCCTTGAATCATAGATGTATTAATTAGACAATAATTGAAAAATCATTTATAATGGCCTGCACACCTGAGCATGACCCCATAGACACTGTAACTAAAGAAGAATTTAAGTTGGCTTTATATAGATAACACCTACAAACTGGTGTGGTTAGAGTATTCATATTGGACATTAAATGATGAAGGTAAAAGATGGCAAGGTTGTGGGTGCAGGTGCTGACTGTTATTGCTTGTGGAGATAGGCAAAGGAATAATCATCTGAGGGCTTGGTGATTTTTTATGTAATCAATTCAAGGCACTAGAGAAATATGAGCCCTGGTGTTATGAGATACTTAGAGGGGGCAGGAGACATATGATGGTGTATGCACTAAGATCTTGGTACTTTTTTTTTATTCTCCTATGGGCAAAATGAAACAAAATATTGCTTCAATTATTTCAAAAAGCCATTGAAAGTCTGAATTCTGATCCTATCCCCAACTCACAAAGCCACATGCTCTCCTTATTTAACAAAATCACACAGATGTAATATGTGGGACTAGTCAAGGGCCAAGGCAGTGTGTACTAGACACAGTGAGGTTAAGTGTGTATTTCTAATAAGTAGTCCTGGAAAGTTCAACTGACAAACCCTTTCAGAAAGAGGAGAGACCCTCTCACAGCTGAGCATGAATCAGGCCATTTAACTTGGATTTGCCACAAAGTTATGCATGGGGAAAATAACACTTCTCCTTTTCTTTCCATACCTGAAGACCCTGAATGTGGACTAGGTAGAATACTTAGGTACAGTGAAATCTACTGAAGAGTGAGAATGATTGATGCATACATTCAACTAATATTTGTTGAAGGTCTACTTTTTCTGCCCTAGGCTCTGGTGTTATAGATATGAAAAAGATGTTCTATTGTCTCAGGGAATGCACATTCTAACAGACAGGACAAGCAAACCAATAGGTGATTTGCAGTATAGAATGATTTATGCTACTATTGGGTTCAATGGGATAGTCTCCATTCCTAGGATAGTAATATCCTGATATATTTCTTATCTTCTCTTTATATTTTCCAATTAATTAATTAATTAATCCATCCAAGAAACCACCATTTATTAAGCAGTTATAGCGCAGAATAAGTGCTAAGATGTGAAAAATATGAGATTCTACAGAAATTTCTGTATTAAATCTTATGTCACTTACATTTTTTTTACATTATTCCATTAAACCCTTATTTTATTTTTTCATTAATTAAACCCAGGAACATTTGTTGTACACTTAGAATGTATTAGACACTGTGCTACTTGCCCAGGATACAAAAATAAAACACTTGATTTTTGACCCTGGGGAGTTTACAGGGAGACAGACAAGTAAACAGGTCAATTCAATTCAGGATAACATTTCTTTTCTGAGCATATATTACATTATTACTCTCCAGATTGGGACCAAAGCAGTGCACATTAGGTTTCTCTGCTGGGCTACCTTGTGACAAACCTACTCCCTTCATTAGCTGCAGTCAGTTACAAGGCTTATGATGACATTGTAGAGGAGTCAAAACTTCTTCCCTTGCAGCAAGCACTCCATCACACCTTATCACCATGGCATTAAATCAAATAAAACAGTAAGCATTATTAGAGAATACACTATGTGCTCAGCTGTGTGGTGGGTACCATGGGGATCCCAAATAAATATGAGATGCAGCACCTGCCCTCAGAGAGTTCAGTCTCGTTGGGGAGCTAAGATCACCCAGTGATTTCCCTGCATGTAATACAAGAGAGTTTCTAACCACATGTTACTTCATAGACTTCTTAGTACTCTCCTTCTTTTTCCTTGGCAGCCCTGCCATCATTTATAGGTAGACTTACTGTTGAACTCATGAGGTTTGGTGCTGACTTGAGCGTAACATTTACATCAGTGTGCAAACCTAGCCACATCTGTTGGCTCTCTGTAATACACATCTGTATTGTTGGTTCTCGAAACCAAAGGGAACATGATGTTAAGTGCAGTTATTAGTAGGTAAGGTAAAGGGAACAGTGTACTGGTCTAGGGAATTGGAACTCAGCCTTTAGTATCACAGAGACCATCTTGCCTAGAATAGCATATTATTGTTTACTGGTCTTCTGATGTTGGTCAGGAAATCAGCTATGTGGATTTTGTGCTTTTGGACACAAATTTGAAGAGCGAAAATGGAGGATGCCTTTGCTGTTTACAGAAGACTTTTGTAGAATTAGTGATATCAGGTAGCCCATAAATATCTTAAATTGAAAGGTGAGATTTGAATTTCTTGGCACCCTGGTATAGTTAGTCCATAGATTTAGTATATGTATAAGTGAATGTATGGTGGTGGGAGGAGAGTGGAAAGAGGGAAAATAAATTGAAAAAGAATGGAGGAGAGAGAATAATAATAGGTTTGCCAATCTGCTAAGATTTTTTTCTGAAAATATTCCAGCATTTTTAGGTTCTCCTTATTATGGCAAATATTTTTTCTTCCAATCTTATGGAATGGAGGCATGCCTACTGAGAACCTTTGGATACTGGAAAGTGAAAGTACACCAGCATCCCTTCATTACCCTTTTTGTCACCCAAGCCATGGTCATTGCTGGAGGAAGAAAATGCAACTCATTTCTTTTACTGCTAAATGGAGACTTTGGTGGGACCTCCCTGCCTTTGGGGTGGTGGCGGTCAAATGGGCCAGACACCCAGTCTCTTTGGTGAGGTATTTTAAAACTTTGGTTTTCTAATGTTGAAAATTTCTGAGCTGACAACTCTAAGAGAGTGATAGTTTGGCAAAAGCTTCCAGAATTCTAGTCATATGTGCATAGGAATTAAGATTTTGGTTTCGAACTCAATCTTGAGTTCTCTCTGTTTTTCTACCATTCACTAGGAAACTGTAGCATCTTCAATATGAGACATCCTAAAGGTGTGTGTGCTCTACTATAACACTGAACAGTTTCATGAGTAGCAGTGGAAGAGTTTGCAGACTAAGGATGTATGTGGCAGACCAAATTGAATGCTTCCAGTTATTTTATAGGAAGTCTTAGTGCATGTTATCTTAGTGCAAATAATGAAACTAAAACATCAGTTAGGCTTTGAAGAAAAATAAGAAAGAAATAGCTCAGTATGCTTTGGTCCCTAAAACAGAGATTTAAAATTAGGGATTTGCAGGGATTTGAGTAGAACTCTGGGTTAAGGAACTAAAACAGCAGCCACAAACCTATCAGATGTCAGATTTAGCAGTCATTAGGAAATTGGTATGTATGATGAAGCTAGTTTGGATAGCAAGGAAATGACACAAAACACCACCTGCAATTAAAACAAAGCAACAAGTTGTTCAGTGAGCGCCT